ACGTCAATGGTGCATTTCAAGGGCCAGGGAAGGCAACCCGGCTGGGTTGGCATGGGGCGCATGGACATGGCACTGTGCCTCGTCACATTTCTGGGGATGCAGCGTCCTGGAAACGGGAAGCGGCAAATTAATATAGCTCACATACGGAGTAGTGTCGGCGTGATAAGCCTCTGTAACCAACGTGTTGTACTGACACGGACGCGTTAATTGGGGGAAGGGGGGGACCGGGGGGGGGATATCATAGTACTCCGTATAATACGCCGTATTGCGTGTTTGACCAGTTGAGGCAAGGGACCAGGCTAATATCTTCCGCCAGACTCCAGATACCATAGATATTAGTGTACATGTGCTTGGCGATGGGTCATCTTGCCAGAGGCTGTATGTACTGAGTAGCACACAGGCATTGTCAACTTGGGAGTTCTGTGGTATGCAGGTGCGCCTTGCGTCGAGGTAGGGATAACTGCAGCAGACGACGCTTTATGCAGGAAGCAATAAGATGGCTTGCATCTTCCGACCTGCAGGCCTTTACGTCCTGGTGTCGGGGACCAGACATACTCCGTACAACATGCTGAAAGCCCAGTTGAGAATGTGCAGCCGGGCTACTGCGTGTGGTTGGGTAGTTGAGCCATCATATTACATCCATCCATCCTTCACCACCGAAAAAACCAAGGAGTTTTGAAACAAACGTCCTTCCTGCCGTCACTGCTTCCATTGGTCCCATGGTAAGCCGACGTGATGCCACCAATGTTCTGGCACACCCTTCCCTCATTGCCGCTTTTCATCCTTCACTCAGACGGTGAGAAGAACTCGGTTGATCGTCTCCCTATCCAGCCCACGCTTGACAAAAGCACGAGTTGCTGAGATGCCAACTGCAGCTTCTAAACCCACATCTAGGTCTAGTGACCCTTGCAAATACGAGATTCCATCCATGTGGTGAACCCGAAATCTTGTACGGGGCAGATCGTTCCCCAAACTCTACCAAGATGGTGTGCCTTTTTTCGATTTTCGCGTCAACAAGAATCTTTCCTGGCAAAAGCGTATGCCATAGACTCAGACTATTGCTTGTCTGGGCTTAGACAGTACATCATGTCCAACAGAGAACTCTTTCTATGCATAGGTTGCCTTGTCGTCGGGACTCGCCAGAGTGGATGGAGAGCAAATATCGGGAGATGTAGAGGGCCTGGAAAACCATGTACGTGGTGTTGGTCTGGATATTCACCTGAGTGCTTGATGCTCACACAGGCTAGCAATGGCGGTCAGTCAAAACGTGTATCTCGCTGTCGTCATCTTCCTCAGTTCCGGGACGAACAGGCTGGTACTGGCAATTCCAATTCAAAGGCACACCATGTAAACGATGCACCAGTCATCGACTAGGACCGGGCACCACAGTGGATATGAACTGACTCGGGTCCCTGGTGGGTTTGTGTGTTGACCGGAACGGTCGCCGAGAAGCAAAAAGACAAACAAGTAAGCCGACCTCTGATAGCTCGTCAAGCATAGCATCCAACAAAGAAACATGCGTCAATGCTAATCGTGCAGCAAGGCATTGACTGTACGGAGTACCAGTGGCTTGATACTGTGGCTGACTTCGTGTTGACCCCAGCGCTATGTAGAGTAGTGGAGAGTCCGCGACGCCGTTCAATGTTCGTTGAACCCCGAAGCTTTTTGAGAATACTACTGGTATGTCTCGTCACTGGCGCCATGCGGGTAGGTATCCGATCCTGACGTAGCAACCGCTCGCGAGAGCCATGGGTGGGAGGGGCGCAAGCTTTACTCTCTGAGCAAATCACGAGCAGTATGTATGCCGAGACCTCTGTTTTCATCTTTGTTAGCTCATTAATACAATCATGCTGCTGGACTAGTGAAGGGTATTTTGGGTGAGAGCGATTTTTTTTTGGGCTTCAAACGACGGTGAGTCGAACTAAAGTCACGAGGCTAGCGGCTTGCCCCTGGCCCTCGGGCTATCATGCCAAAGACCACTACTGACGTTTCAATGTTCCGCTCAACCTGGCGTTGAACTAACAAAAAGAGGCCTTCCTTTTTTCCGTGTCTTGCAGACATTGAAAATGCCTGTTGCAATGCAATCCGGTTGAATCTATTGGCCTTGTGAGCCTCTAACAGTGGGGAAGAAGCTCCCGGGGCCTAATCTTGAGTTGCGAATGCCTTATGTATAATAACTTGAAACATTCCGAAGGCCTGCTTGCATTAAACCCACGACCCGTGTACGTTGTGTTTTGTCAGTTTTTCCCCCCTGCCACAAGCCAGATTGTTGCAGGCGAAACGTTCCAGAAGAAAGAGACCTCCTCAGCTGTTCCATAGCCGCCCCGCACATGCTCCCTCAAATACGGAGTACATGTAGGATGATGAAAGCCACGGTGACGAAGTACCTGTAGTGGGGGGTTGATGAGGCAGAGTACACGGGTATCGCGCGTTGCACATTGTAGGATCATATTCTGTAACACCCTGTATGTTCGTAGTAGTATCTTGCCGAGCTGAGTACGTACACCTGCGCTAGATGCTTCGGGTTGCCCTCATAACAATCTTCTTGGATGCTGTTTTCGCGGGCCAGCAGTTCAACGACGGGCACATGCGCCGATTTGTGGACAAGGCCGCCGACCTGTTGGGTCTGACATGGCATCAGCGCACGGTACCAAGATATGACTGCTGGACACTGGCATAGAGTTGAGGGGGTTTCGGGTGGCCACCATGGCTTCCAAAAGCTGGCAGGATGGATTCCACAGGGTTGACTGGTGTCTCCAGTGCCAATCTCGGTGCAGTTCGTCCCACACAGAGTCACACAAGGATATGCCCAGGCCCACCACATGGTCAGAGAGTGATCAGGATCAAGCTGATAAACAGGCCAGGTACGGGAGTGGTATCGAAAACCGTTGGAGTCTCGTTTATGGAATAGAACTGACATGCCACTCTTTGATCTAAAGCAGACTCCCAATGGAACCTTGCCGTGCCTTTGGAGAGCTCGTTCAGGGGCGATGGATCCTCAAGAGCACGCCCTACCAATTCTGGCTGCAGCGGCGGCGGACGGCTCGGGTCGTTCACAGCGGGAGGGCACAATCGGGCCCTTCTGGCTGCATCATCTAAATTAGCTGTGGAGGAGAGGGGTCTGTGCCGAAAACTAGCACTGTACTAGTAATCACGCGGAAGCCTGCTCCAAGTGCAGAGGAGGGAGGCTATGATCTATCAGCCCCAGGCCCCGGGCCCCGTATACCGAGCAATTGAATGCATGCACGGAGTATGTACAGTACATACCTAGGTACGCATGGCCCTGGCAATAAGAAAGGCAACCAGATAGGCGATGTGGAGAGGGACGACAGACAAGACGACATGACGAAGCTGGTACCTATCGACGCTTCGTCCTCGGTGCCCGGCAAACTCGACACGTCTTCTTAGACATGTACAGCCGAAGCTCAGTGCGGTGGTGTGCACTCAAGTCTTGACTCAAGTGACTCGATATTCCGTACCGCACAGCGCAGTCCGTGACCTTCCTATTTGAGTTCCTCATTTAGCAGGTAGACAGCGGCAAAATGAGCAAGCAGAACGTGTGATACGGAGCATTAGACGGCAATACTCCGATAGCCTGTGTACACATCTTGTGCGTGTTGCGCCGCACACCGTTGGAGTGGCGAGTGCTAAAAGCTGGACCAAGGAAGGTGCATGTGGCTGTTGATTGGGAAGACGCCCGCTCGACCGCCATCTGGCGGTGGCTAGTGGGGTTGGCCTGCCGAAGCCTGACATGGGCCGACAAGGGTCCCGGGCCAGGATGATGATGGGACCTGGTGGCGGACTGCGACACTCGGTCTGAGCTCGAACCGTGGTGGGATGAGGGATGGGATGCTGATTGTGTCGGGGTTTATTTTTCTTCTCTGCGTTTTGGTCCTGACTTTGGATGGAAAAATTTCCTTTTCCCAAGGCTGTGCGCCGTCTGTAGAGGTTGCCTCGTGCCTGCCGCAACTGGTCGTTCGTCATGCCCGTCAGGCAATAAGAAACGAGAAACAAGACAAGGGAAGCGAGGTCGTGCCTGCTTCTGATTGCGGCCATACTCCGTACATATGTACCTACCTATGTCATGACTGTATTGTGGTGGTTCAGATGGCCATCAAATGGCATTATGATGAGAATCAACTTCACGCTGCCACAATGCCCTAACCAGTAGCCCACCAAGGCGCTGCCCGAAGCAGCAATTAGACAGGGGTTCAACATGGTTCAACACAGCTGCACAGCTGCGGCTCTGCAGACCACTGACGAGATTGACGCAGCGGCTCAGACGAGGGTTGTCCTGAAGGTGGACCGTGGCTCTGTGGCCCAGCGTGCCTGCCTCTGTTACATGGAGGTGCATCTGCGTGGGCTTTACCTGGGCTCTGCGTCGAGGTGCATAAAGACCGAGCCCCTCCATCCCATCATCCCTGGCCACTTGGTTCACGTCTTGTTTTGCTTGTCTCGTCTACGTTCTGAACTTATTGTTTGCCTCGCCAGCTAATTTTTCCTGGTCCTCAAGCCTGGACAGGACATCTCGTCTTCAACGGATCCAATTCACTCTACTATTCACTCTCAACAGCCGCAAGTCGCCGTTGCGCTTCTCATAGTTTGCGTCTCCACGTTGCCCCAAAGCTTCATTCGCTGCCAGTCCTCCCCTTATCTTTCCCCCTCGTACCGAGGACGTTGCAGCCAAAACTCGAACTCGCTCAATCTAAAGAATAAACGACGCCAGGTCGTCTTTGTCACGCCCCCCTTCACCTTGGACTGACAAATCAGGAATTTGTGTTCGCCGTCATCGACCTGAATAATTTGCCTCTGTTGAGTGGTTTTTTGGACTGCATACTCCTGTGTTCCCCCTCAATACTCCATCGAGGCGCCGGTCCGACAAAAACAAGAGGCGCACGAGTAGCTATCGCTATCCCGCTTCATCCAAGGTTTCCGTCCTCGACAAGCTCTCCGCCATACCTCCTGCTCCTTGGGCCATTCTGTGGTGACAAATTGCACCAATGATGGCGGACGAAAAGCCGTCAGTTTTAATCATCGGTGGTCTGGGCTACCTTGGTCGCTTCTTGGCACTTCATATCCATAGGAACATGCTGGCTTCAGAGGTGCGGCTAGTGGACAAGGTATTGCCTCAATTGGCCTGGTTGGGACCCGAGTTCGCCGAAGCTTGTTCCCCGGACAAGTTTATGCAGGCAGACGCTAGCAGACCCGGTAAGTTAGATGGATTTGACCTATCTACTATTTTCACATTTTTGTCATGTGTGGTGGTCGAAGCCGATACCAATAGAAGGACCCGTGACTGACAATTTGATTACTGACTTTCCTGAAATAGAAGGGTTGGCAAGGATATTTGACCGTCCGGATGGCAAAGAGTGGGACTATGTCTTCAATTGCGGCGGTGAAACAAGATATTCTCAGGAAGACGAAGTGTACAAACTGAGATCACTCAACCTTTCGATGGCAGTGGGCAAGGAGGCCGCCAAGCGAAAAGTGAAGGCATTTGTGGAGCTAAGCACCGGCATGGTCTACAAGTCAGACTCCTCGCCTAGCAAGGAGACGGACAAGTTGAAGCCGTGGAGCAAGATTGCAATCTTCAAACTGCAAGCTGAGCAGGAATTGGCCAAGATTGACGGGTAAGTTGAAACCGCTGCACCAATACGACAAGACGGCTGGAGCAGAACACCACCTTGCTAATCATGGTACCTTCTATCTCATTCAACAGACTCAATTTGGTAATTGTTCGCTTGCCACATGTCTACGGTCCATATGCATCGCAGTGGGTGGCTACGGCTTTGTGCATGGCCCGCGTCTATCAGCACCTCGAGGGTGAGATGAAGTGGCTGTGGACCAAGGACCTCCGAACTAATACAGTACACATCGATGATGCGTCGCGAGCGTTATGGGAAGTTGCCGCGTGGTATGCCGCCGGAAAAGCCCGGTGGACTACTGAAATGGGAAAAGTGCCGACTTTCAACGTCGTGGATAAGGGTGAGACTAACCAAGGAATGATGGCGGCTATTATTGGCGACATTTTCAAGATTGAAACGGGATTTCAGGGTCAGTTAATCAGCACATTTGCACGCCTGAATTTGGACAGTGTGGTGGACGACGTCAACGACGAGGTTCTTGGTCCCTGGGCCGAACTGCTTGCAGATGCAGGAATTACTCGGCCCGGACCTCTTACGCCCTTCATGGAGAAGGAGCTTCTGAAGGACACGGATCTCAGTATGGACGGCAGCCGATTGGAGACGCTCATCAAGTTCACATACGAGAAGCCAGTCATCACTAAAGAACTGGTGGAGGAAGTGATTGAAAGCTACAAGAGAATGAAGTGGTGGCCATGAGAGGCAAAGAATACTGTTTGTTACAAAGAGCATTGATCCGTTCCCTTTATTCTTTGGTTTTCTTCCTCTTCTTCTTTTGCAGGACCAACGCATCATAATGGGGAACATGGCAGGTAATGAGCATCCTTTGTCTTTTTTTTTTTTTTTTTGCTTTGCAGGTTTTAGGGACGAAATGAATGACGGCGGATATTTTGTAGAGACATGCCAAAGCGAAGACCAACTTTGCAAATCGAGCATGAGACGGGGGAAAGCAGTATGGCTCGAGCTTCAGGCTTGTTTATACTTTCATCCCATGTTTTTTTTCCCTTTCTCACTTTATTATTTGTTGTTTTGAACCAGAGTTTCAAGCCAAGCAAGCATGGAGTCTGGCATTGTACAATTAGGATGTTGGTGTAAGGGCGCATACATTGCTAGACCACTCGGTATCTGGCGAGATACATTTGCCCACCTCAATGCATATTGACATTACTATCACTACAGTATGACGTAGTATAGCGGGTGATAGCTTGGTACCGGGCATGGTCAACAACTTTTCGCCCGCCCCGTTGTATATACAATAGTAGGCGATGGACACATAACGCAATGAATGTGTCAACGAATACAAGCGATAGCGGATAATTTCAAGCCAGACCATGGCTCCTGGTGTTACTGGCACGCTCCGTCTCTAACAGTGACGCAAGTAACAGCCATGTAGAGTATGGACCCCAAGGGGTACAGAAATCGATTTGGGGTCAAGCCCCGATAAGGCACAACCAAGCATATGTACGTGCTATATATGGATCCCGGATCACTGCAGCAAGCCAGACCATGGAACAGAATGGGAGGGGTGGTAATATTTGGAGAACAGCCCTGGTCGGCCAAAAAAAGTTGGAGAAATTGTGACACAAGGGCCTGATGCAATATAGGCAAGGAACACATTGTGCATGACCAATCTCGCGTTCCCCTACGCCGTACGTACAATATCACAGCGGGTGCGGACATGTGAAATTTGAAGATATCCACGCGATTGTAACAGTTCTCGACCCATACCGGTTTGGCTTTGAGGGCGACGATGCTGAATGTTACTCCGGGACGAGGGCTTAACCGCCCCTCTGTGCAGGCATTGTCTTTTGGCATCGTATGTCAAGCCAATGGGAAGGGGTGCTGTGATGTTGCCAATGATGTCTGGTTTCGGCACACCTGGCACAAAGGTGTAATTTCGGATCCCTATATGTGCCCTTTGGGTAACTTTGGCGGCAGAAGGCCTTTATTGGTACATGCCTTGTAAGATGCTTTAATTTGAGCAGGACCTGCGGGGGAGAGGCAAGAGGCGCAGGTTGACAGATGCGATATGCCGCGTTGTGCCGTTGCAAGGCAGGTATGTATCCTTGCCTCATGGAAGCAAGAGAGAGATCCCCCCCGTAAGGGGGTTGCTGAGCAGGAGGATCCTACGCTATTGACACTTGACAGGGAGGCAAGATGCCGTCAATGGACCACGGGGCCTCACCATCGTTGCTTGGGAGGGTTGTTGGACGGGAAGGGAAGGGCAAGTAAAGCGGCCAATAGTCCGTGTTGCATGTTGCGCTTTGGTGCGTCCCAAGGCCCGTGATGATTGGGCTCGAAATGAGGCATTATGAGTTCAAGGCTGTTTACGGTCTGTTGGAACAAAGGAGCAAGCTGGTTGCTTCAATGGCCTCAGCTTTTCTTGCCCTCACGTGCTCGTTGACTGGTGGCACTGGGCAGATTTGCAAGCGTGGAGACCCCGCCAATGTGCCAACTTTGGGGACAGAGCTTCCATGGGGTACTCTGTACCCGGGTAGTAGTACAGAGTACCTTCTGTAGGTAACACCTGGGCGGTGGGACGTCACTTGGTAGGGAAACGACTAGCGCGTCGGAGCAATTGGAGGTCCGGCCGAGTTGATGATCCCATCAACCCAATTCACCCAAGTCCACGTCCAAGGTGAGTGGTAAGTTGCGAGTGGCTAGTCCTGTTCCTCTGTTAGCGGCGGGCGCAGGGGCTCTTAGCTCAATCATCGACGACATTCAACATCCAACACTCTAAAGCTACCTATTAAGTAGGTAGTTGGGCTTCCAGTCATCCATCTGCTCGAGGCCTCGTACGTAGGTACAGAGTGCTGCGCCGCGCTCCGGCCATCTGAGTAGTATCCCGCTCCGGCGTACGCTTGGACGCCGTGTCACCGTACCACGCGTTGCGAACTCCCTTCTGTCGGACGAACAACTTCTCACTCCGTACGGGAGGGGGAGACTGTCTCGAGCAACGGATGCCCCTCCTGCTCCGTTTGTAGTCACTACTTGCGAGGGAAGACGTGCTCAATACGTACTAGTACCCGCCTCGCAAGGCAAGCCATTGGTAACTTAGTACTAGTAGTGCTAGCATCCCCCACAAAGCCGCCTAGATCAACAGTACGTACTATCTAAGCACGCATGCCCCCCCATCCCCATCCGCACGGAGCACGTTGCGAGGCCTGTCCACCAACTTTAGAAGATAACTCATCAGATGAGTTCGCTCACAACTGGCTCGAATCACTGCCCCGGTCTGGAAAGGCAGAAGTGCCCCGTTAATCGGTTGCCAGTCAGCCTCGTCGCCTCGCTTCCGCTTCCCGGAGACACATGATGAAATCGCACATTTGGACGACGTCGCACACGACATCTCGACCCTGCAACCTTGGATACTCAAGTGAACTAGTTTGTGGACAAGTCTGTCCTCTACTCGGTCCATTTGTAGATCAGTCGACCATATAAGGGACCTACCGTCTCTCCTTTTTGTTGCTGCATCTTTTGCCTTGATCCTGCCTGCTCCTTCTTTCCCCAACTTGCCTCCTTCCCCGTCAACATACACAACCCACCACAGGGTTCCTAGCTTGTCCTCGTGCTAGCTCCTTCCAAAAATTTTTATATACCCCCATCTCCTGGCCCCTCCTCCCCTTCCTTCCCATCAACCCCGGATTCCAACCCCCTCCCCAAAACCCAATCCTCAGTCACCCGGCTTTCCGATCGTTGTCGAAAATGGCCGCCCCTGCGGACAAGACTTTGAAGAACCTCAACGGCCAATGGACCGTGGTAAGTGGTGATGACCTCTCCAATTCCCAAAAGGACACCGTAAAACCTTTATTTGTGGCTGGGGCCTCGAGGTAATCGAAAATCATGTGGCGCGGACGAGTGGGGTAATTCACATGTGATGACGCTTGTGCCTCATCACCAAAAATTACCAGCAGGACATGTTTCGTCGGCGTGGGTAATGCTAGCTTTGGGGAAAACAAACTGCTAACTGCGGCCGGCCGGCCGGCGGGGGAACGAATTCTAGAACAAGGAGCTGTCCGAGTCTACCGATCCAGCCCTGACCATACAGGGCATCGGCTACTTTATCCGCACGGGGATTAGCTATGCCACCATCAGCCTCAGCGTGAACCAGTACGAGGCTCCCCCCAAGCCCCCGAACGAGTCCACCGACACCGTCGTCCACATCGACATCGACCAGTCCGCCTCTGGCCTCACCAACACCCAGGAGAACCGGTGCCTGGACAACACCTACCGCGACCACACCGACTGGCTGTTTGGCCACGTCAAGGGCCGCAGCACATGGGTCGGCCTGGACGAGATCGAGGACGCCTACCTGAAGAACGGCTGGGAGGCCGAGGCTGACGGCAAGCTCATCTTCAGCCACGTCGAGAGCCTGGATGCCGGCTGGACGGCCACCCAGGTCTGGGGTTTCCAGCTGGTCAATGGCGAGCGCCGCTACTGCCGCAACATTGTCGTCGCCAAGGGCAGCGAGCGTGCCGAGTTCCGCCTCGTCTACGACTACAACGCCTAGGTTTTGCAAGGTCGGTCGGAATCGTGAGCGCTTTAATGAAATGGTTGGCAAAGGCGGAATACGGGAGGGAAGCAAGATGGGGAGCTCATCGTCCATTATGAGCAGCACTGACACGTATTTCATGAAGCTATGCGCATTGGGCAATTTCCGAGGCCTGTCTTGTTTATAATTCTTGGCGCATATATATCATGTACCGGCAGCTGATGGGTCTCAGCAAGCTGGGCTGATGTACTAATATTCCCACATCAGTCGGGTTTCTGTAGTCTTGCCAAGCAAACACTTCAACTTGTACATGCTTGCTCGCAAATCTCCTCCTGGGTATTGAAGGCCGTCACTGCGCCAGCATCACTGCATTGGAAGCCGACACGACTGCCCAAATAGTACCGCTGCGTCGTTGCACATTTGTGAATAGGTGGCATGCTACGGTCTGGCAAGGAGATCAATTTGCCCTCTCATCAAGCATGCACTGCGGTGTTGAGGTATTGTACACCTCGCGGCGGCCAATTTCCCCTCCGTCTGGTCCAATACGCATTGCCTCTCTTGCTGCATCGGCACTCTTTCTATATTATTACAACCTGCCGGCACCCATCACAGGTGAGTATCCCACGGCCCCCTCTTATGGTACAATCCTCCTCTGCTTTATGACATGAATCCTCGGGGCCATCCTCGGCCCAACCCACCAACCTCCCGTATACTTCCTCACTACGCCCCTCAACCACCTCATGTCCGCCCCCAGCCCAAGAGCTCGGTACTTGTCCTCGACTTCCCTCTGTCCCGGCCTCAGCAACTCGATTCCGCTATATCCATACACGACCCCGACCACATCCCACTCTCCCAACGCGAGCGCCGTATCCTCGAGCAGCGCGTAGTCGAACTGCTGCCAGAAAGTCGGCCACCCGAGCTTCTCACTCTTCTCCGTCTTATCAAATAAGTAGACTGTTTTCCCTGGAGCTTCTACATCCCAGGAATCATTCAGTGCCAGTGGCAGACCGTGTTTGTTCTGGTTGAAGAGTGTCAGGCCCGTCATGCAGGTCAATACGTCGGCGTGGACGGTTATTGGTGTTGCGGCTTTGTCCGTCAGGCCGTAGAGCTGGCTGAGGGCTTCGCCGCCAGGGTAGTTTAGGCTTGAGAGGAGGAGCATGCCTGTGCTTGCGGACAGCGTAGCCAGAATCGAGAGGATCAGTGTGAA